CATCACCTGAAATAAATCCCTCGCTGCTTAAAGACTCAGAGATTGAGTGGTTCCACCACGCCTTTTGGGGCACAAAATGGGCATCCCAGAGCCCCACCTCTCTCGCTGGCGTCGTCCACCAGGATGATCTCGCGGAGCAGGCGCGGGGGCGAGCGGTTGATGACGCTGGCCACGGTGCGCAGCAGGGTGCTCCAGGCCTCGTTGTGGAACACGATCACCACGCTCGTGTTGGGCAGCTCCTCGGGGTACACCTTCGTCTTGCACCTGCCCCAGACACAGGGAAAGGGAGGTCAGTGTTTAAAATATCCCTGTCGGAGGCTGAAATGGCTGATGATTTATGCATTCTGGGATTGCCAAGGGACTTTTGTAGGCTTCTGCAGGGCTTTTACACTAGAGCTCTGATGGCCCATCAAAGCCCATCCCCACCCCCCTCTGCCAATCTTGAAAGGTGGGAAAAACCCTTTGACCAGGCCCCTCATGGAGACTCAGCACAGACCCAGGAGAGGTTGGGGGTTCCTGATGTGGCCTGTGACACTAACCATGGATATAATAACTCATAACTTCTTGGAGTGTGGGGGCTTCTCTCCTTCACCCCCAACAGATCAAGGCCACCACTTCAACTGACAGACATGGAAGCTGTAACTCCCAAGTTTCATCACTGGACCCCGTGGGTGGTGACTATAGGCATCTGTCCACTCTCAGCTTTTCTTTCCCTTACTCTCCCTTAGCCTTATCCTGTCTTTCCTTTCTCTCCCTTATGCATTTTCCCCTCCAGGGGTTATCCCTGTGATAGATGATATAGATGACAACAGCCAAAATGCTAATATACCTGTTCAAACAAAATTGCTAAAATGAACCCTACCTATATGTGTTTAAAATGAACCCTACCTAGATATGTCTAAAATAAACTCTACCTATCTATGTTTTCAAACACCGATTATTCAGTGTCATTTCACTCTAATCCACCCCAGGGAAATTATTGATAAGAACCTGGGTTACCCCCCTCCCCTTTTTTCTGGGTTGGGTTGTAACAATCCCCAAAGGGCTCTACTGAACGGGATGAGGCTCAACCAGGCCAAGTGCCGGGTCCTGCACTTGGGTCACAACAACCCCCGGCAGCTCCAGGCTGGGCCAGAGGGGCTGGAGAGCAGCCAGGCAGGAAGGGAGCTGGGAGTGGGGATGGACAGGAAGCTGAACAGGAGCCAGAGTGTGCCCAGGTGGCCAAGAAGGCCAATGGATCCTGGCCTGGCTCAGGAACAGTGTGGCCAACAGGTCCAGGGAAGTGATTCTTGCCCTGGACTCAGCGCTGGTGAGGCCACCCCTGGAGTGCTGTGTCCAGTTCTGGGCCCTCAGCTCAGGAAGGACATTGAGGGGCTGGAGCAGCTCCAGAGAAGAGCAACGAGGCTGGGGAAGGGACTGGAGCACAAGTGCTGTGAGGAGAGGCTGAGGGAGCTGGGGGGGCTCAGCCTGGAGAAGAGGAGGCTACGGGGAGACCTCCTCACTCTCTGCAACTCCCTGACAGGAGGGGGGAGCCGGGGGGGGTTGGTCTCTTTTCCCAGGCAACAATCAGCAAGACAAGAGGGCTCTGTCTTCAGCTGTGCCAGGGGAGGTTTAGGTTGGATATCAGAAAGAATTTCTTTCCAGAGAGAGTGCTCAGCCATTGGAATGGGCTGCCCAGGGAAGTGGTGGATTCTCCATCCCTGGAGGTTTTTAAGATGAGACTGGACGTGGCATCAGTGCCATGGGCTGAGAACCACAGTGGGGTTGGATCAAGGGTTGGACTTGATGACCTCAGAGGTCCCTTCCAACCCAGCTGATTCTATGATTCTATGAAAAGGGGTGGGAAGCAGCCACGGCACCGCCCTGGGGGAACCTGCTGTGTCCAGGTGGTTGAAGGGGATGGAGAGGAAGGGAGGAGGCAAACTGGAGACACAGGCACTGAAACACGAATTGCTGTGAGGGGAGGCTGCTCTGCATGGGAAGGTTTGGCTTTTACCAGTCCTCTGGAGGAAGTGAGACATCGATTAGTTTTCACTGAACTCCCTCGCAACAATTTTCCCGAGTCTCTGATTCACCTCAAAAGTTAAGCAGCAAAGCTCAGCAAGAACACAAGCACACAGTGGATGTACCATCACTGTTCCTGCTCTCAAAGCCATTCCCATTTGCAGGAAGTGTGATGGAAAACAAGTACAACCTCAGCCAAAGGTGACTGATCTGTACCCTGAGCTCCTTGCTCCTGGCTGGGCACGGTCACGCTCTGCCCCTGGTGCTCATCCACCTCTTTGGGCTTGACACCTCTTTCCCTGAAGGAATTCTCCCAATATCCAACTTGACCCTCCCCTGGCACAGCCTGAGGCCATTCCCTCTCCTCCTGTCCCTTGTTCCCTGGCAGCAGAGCCCGGCCCCCCCCCCACCGGCTCCCCCCTCCTGTCAGGGGGTTGCAGAGCCAGAAGGTCCCCCCTGAGCCTCCCTTTCTCCAGGCTGAGCCCCACCAGCTCCCTCAGCTGCTCCTGCTGCTCCAGCCCCTTCCCCAGCTCCATGACACAGCTTCCCACAGTCTGTACTCCCACCACACCTCAGAGCCCAGGGACTGTGAGCACACGACAGATAAAACCCTTCACTGAAACCAAACAGTGACTCACAGACTCATTTTTCCAATTCAGAAATCCAGCCCATGCTGAAGAATTGATGGATCAGTCTCCTGCTCCTCACAGGCTCCCAGACACTCAGTCTCCCTCCCCCCCTGCACTGTACAATACTCACTGATTGTTAACTCTCACAACACTGGAATCCCTGTCCCACAATCCCTGTTTTCGTTCCTGCAGCCACCAGCTGTCACCTTATGAATACACATGAAATCAATGCAGCTGTTTGAATGGCAGAAAAACACGTTTCCCCATGATCAGTGACATGGAAACAGAGCAAAACTCTCCCTGTTCCCTGCTCTTCCCATGGGATGTGGGCAAATTGTGGGAGCAGCAAGGTTTGCACCAGGATTTTCACAGAACTGCAGAATTTCAGACTGGTTTGGGTTGGAAGGACCTTAAAGCTCATCCAGTGCCACGGGCAGGGACACCTTCCACCAGCCCAGGTTGCTCCAACCCCATCCAACCTGGCCTTGGACACTTCCAGGGATCCAGGGGCAGCCACAGCTTCCCTGCCCAACCTGTGCCAGGGCCTCCCCACCCTCCCAGTTGGGAATTCTTTCCCAATATCCCATCTACCCCTGCCCTCTGGCATTGGGAAGCCATTCCCTGTGTCCTGTCCCTCCAGGCCCTGCTAAAACATGATCTCATACAGGGAATATTTCCAATTTTTGAGGCAGCCCTGCCCCTTGCAATTCCCAGTGACTCCTGGGGTGGGAAGGACTCTGCTCCAGAGGGGCTGGAGCAGCCTGGGGGGACACAGGGACTGGCCAGGGATGAGCTGCTGAGGAAAAGCAGAGCTGAGGTAACACTGGGCTCCCTTAAATGTGTCAATCCCACGTGTCTTCCTGAAGTGCATCTCACGGGACAAATGGATTAGAGCTGAACACCACAAAATAAACCCATTTACCCTCCTTTATCTGGGCTGAGTTGCAGGAACAGCAAATAGTGGTCTCACCTAAAAAATCTAGGCAAGGCTTCCTGCCCTGAGCAGGGATTTGGGGCATGGGAGGATTTTCATGGATGTTTCACCAGGGAAATTCTCACAGACATTGGTTTTCAGTCCTGAACTGCTCCTTCCTGAGCCTTTCCCCCCACCCTGGGACCACCTCTCAAGGGTTTTGCTTCACAGAATCCACCACTAAACTGTAGCACCACATTCAAGCCATGATTCCTCTCTAAAAAATCACATTTCTGCTCAGAAGTGGATGCTCCTAAGCACAAATACTCACACAGGAGCTACTTTCAACCTACATTTCAGTAAGAAAATCCAATTATAACGGTCTAGCAACTTGGAGACAAGCACTTGCAACCTTACTCAGCCAGAAAAGATTGAAGATGGATTTCTTCCCCTGCTGCAGAAAATACTTAGAAATAGAATTAAGCATTTCTCTGTTGAATTAAACTGGTTTAAGGTTTAATCAATAGCTACTTCAAATTAGAGCTGGCACTGATTAAAATCTTCTAGTTGGCCATTCCCAACAGGACTCAGGCAGTCAGGGGACGTTCTTTGGGAGACAATTCTGGACATAATGGGAGGCAAAATAAACTGTTTGTGTGACAGTGTGAGATGGCACAGGAGATGGCATTGAAATACCAACTCTGGAGCCACATTGCTCCCAGAGAGCTCCTGGGAGGGGGATTTTGGGGGATCTTCAGGAGGGAACTCCTTCTCACACAAATCAGAGCAAACTCTCACTGACTCTGGAGCCAGGCTGGGAGAGCTGGGGGGGTTCACCTGGAGAAGAGAAGGCTCTGGGGAGAGCTGAGAGCCCCTTGCAGGGCCTGAAGGGGTTCCAGGAGAGCTGGAGAGGGACTGGGGACAAGGGATGGAGGGACAGGACACAGGGAATGGCTTCCCACTGCCAGAGGGCAGGGACAGATGGGATATTGGGAAGGAATTCCTGGCTGGGAGGGTGGGGAGGCCCTGGCCCAGGTTGGGCAGAGAAGCTGTGGCTGCCCCTGGATCCCTGGAAGTGTCCAAGGCCAGGCTGGACGGGGCTTGGAGCAACCTGGGGTAGAATCCACCACTTCCCTGGGGAGATCATTCCATAGGCTGAGTATTCCAGTGGTGAAACACTTTCCTGTCACTTGTTACTTGACCCCACCTTCCAGATCACTTCAGATCCCTCTGGCCTCGAGTTTTCTGCTGCATTTGGTGCAGCTGCACCACAACCACACACTGACTGAACCCATTTCCACGTCAATGACACCCATCTGATTTATGACCTTCACACCTCGATGACACCCATCTGATTTATCACCTTTACACCCCAATAAAACCCATCTGATTTACCACCTTTACACCCCAATAACACCCATCTACCACCTTCACCCCTGGGTCACATCCCTCCCTCCCCGAGCTCAGGATCCCCCCCTGACACAGCAGCACCCAAACCTAAACAGTTCATCACAAACTTCCCACAAGACACGTCCAGCAAGAGTATTTTTTTTTTAATTTTATTTCCTTCTCCTCACCTTCTTTTGCCACAAAAAAACATCCCAAACCCTGCACTGATAAAGGGAAAATCAAAGCCAGTGCAAACCTGGGCTCTCTGTTCCCGTGTCAATAAAAATCAGTCTCTCTGTCACACACTAAACATATTAAACCATAAAATCATATTCTTCCTTAAGAGTAAACCATTATAAATTGGTTTTTGGAACAATCTGATACTCCCTAAAGACAGAGGATGTACAGAAAGCTTCTGTCTGAGGAGGAAAATGGGGAAATTATTTTTCTCAATGCTTTCTGTCCTTTCACCAGAGAAGACAAAACTTCTTTTCATCAGGAAAATGCATTTAGACACATTTCCCTCAGTGTTAAACAGCCCTTCTCCCTCCAGCTGAGCACAACCAGTCACTGAGGTGAATATTCCCCTTCTCCTTCTGTTCTTTGCGGGCATTTGGGAATAAAATCCAGGCAAAAAAAGCATTAATGTCATTTAAAACCTCATGGGAACCTGAAGGATTTCATTTCAATCAAAGCATAATTAGAAAAACTTGAGCCAAGTGACAATTCAGCTCAAAAAGCCAAAGTAATGGGACATTTTACAAGACCCGATCACTTGTGTATAAGTGATTAATTTTGCTTTTATTTATCACAATTTTTGTTGGTTATAAGCTGCTGTACCTATAAATCAGACATGGGGATTTACAGAACAGGGCAAAAAAGGAAAACAGGGCAAAAAAATGAACTGGAAAAAGACAAAATCCAATAAACACAAGGTTTCTATTACAATTCTGTGGGGGAAAAAAAATCCCACCTCTAAAAATCTATTTCCAAAAGCAGGAAGTTTGGATAATGCTCCACACACGAAATTCCAGTTGGAGATTCTCTGGAAAATGTCCTGTTATGCAAAAGTTTTCCTCTGCAAATTCCACTGAAAATAACTCAGTGGACTTGGTGAAACTCCCTCTCAAGCTCTGCCACAGCCCCCAAGTCACGACACACAAACTTCAGGCTTCCCTCACAAATTATAAGCTACTAAAATTAAAAATCAAAATAAAAAAACCCTCCAAGCCCCCTTCAGTTTTTAAATTATTGCAAAACTCTTCGATAGATGCTCCAGAAAATGTCTAGGGACAAAAGGAAAGGGAATAGATTTTGGCATTGGCAGCATTTTCTCTTTATCAGCTGTAAAATGTCAATTTTTAACGGCTGACAGCAGAGCTCCGGAAATTTGTAAAGCAGACATAGATGTTTTTATCTTTTCAAAGCCTCGGGAATAAAGTTTTCCCTGAAGATCAAAATATTTAAATTATTCCAGGTGATAAGAGGCACAGGAGGGTGCTTTGTTATGGAGAAGTGAAGGTTCCAGGGAGAGCTTAGAGCCTAAAGGGGCTCCAGGAGAGCTGGAGAGGGACTGGGGACAAGGGAGGGAGGGACAGGACATGGGAAGGGAAGAGAAGGTTTGGGAAGGGAAGGTTTGGGAAGGTTTGGGAAGGGAAGGGAACATGGGGAATGTTTGGGAAGAGAAGAGAATGGAAGGTCTGGGAAGGGAAGGGAAGGGAACATTGGGAATGTTTGAGAAGAGAAGAGAATGGAAGGTTTGGGAAGGGAAGGGAACATTGGGAATGTTTGGGAAGAGAAGAGAATGGAAGGTTTGGGAAGGGAAGAGGAGGGGAAGGGAGGGGAGGGGAAGGAAAGAGGAGGTTTGGGAAGGGGAGGGGAGGGGAGGGAAGGTTTGGGAAGGGAAGGTTTGGGAAGGGAAGGGAACATTGGGAATGTTTGGGAGGAGAAGAGAATGGAAGGTTTGGGAAGGGAATAGAAGGGGAGGTTTGGGAAAGGAAGGGAAGGTTGGGAAGAGAAGAGAAAAAGCAGAGAAAAGAAAAAAGATAAGAGAAAAGAGGAGAAGAAGAGAGGAGAGAGGAGAAGCTGTGAAAAACAGATATATGTTCATAGATATGTGTTCCCACTGCCAGAGGGCAGGGTTAGATGGGATATTGGGAAGGAATTGCTGGCTGGGAGGGTGGGGAGGCCCTGGCCCAGGTTGCCCAGAGAAGCTGTGGTTGCCCCTGGATCCCTGGGAGTGTCCAAGGCCAGGTTGGACAGGGCTTGGAGCAACCTGGGCTGGTGGAAGGTGTCCCTGCCTGTGGCAGGGGTTTGGAATGGGATGATTCCCAATGTCCCTTCCCCCCCAGCCCCTTCCATGCCCTCAGACTCACCCGTCCAGCCGCACGTCGGGCAGGCTGCGGTTCAGGGCGATCAGGTCACTGGCCATCAGGTTGAACTGGTTGATCTTAAACAGCTCCTTCATCTTCTCCTGGTCGTCCTTGGGAATGAGCACGGCCTTTCCCATCTCTCCTGGCCCTTCCTGGTTCCGGGAAATAACGGCTGCAACACAAACAGCAAAAAGCCACTTCCAGCTGGGCGGTGTCGGATTTATCCGGCGGGGTTTGGTGTTCAACAGGGAATGCTAAAATCCAATAAAAACACACGTTTTCCCTGCTCCACTGGGAGGTTTTCTCTCCATCCTGATCCAAATGTACATCTGGTTTTACTCTGAGATGATTAAACCCCCCAGATCTGTTCACCTGCAGCTCTTGGCCATAATCACAACAACAATAAATGACAATTCCCAAGAGATTTCCAGCAGGATCGCAGCACCAGAAGCTGTGCTGTGAGAACCTGCAGACAGAAAACATTTGGAAATCACTTCTATGGATGCTGGAAACACCTGAAGAACATGTATATCAATGAAATTTTAACCAATTCCTTCTATTTTTTATTCAGTTTTAATTCCCAGGCATGTAGCAGCACAATCCCATCCTGGTAAATAATTAAACAATCTTCAGTGGCAGAGAGGAAATTATAATATTCCAACCCTACAGAGGGTCTTTTACATCTTATTAGAGATTATTTTGGGGAAATATTTGTGTTTTGAATGTTAAGGAAAACCACAGTATCACCTCAAGTATCACAAACAAGATACATCCTGCCTTTTTAGGGAACAGTTGAGGGAAAGAAAGGAAAAATCCCATGTGCAGAAATAATTATAATATTCCCTGCCAGCGGCGCTTCCAAATGGTTTGGGCTGTGAGATGAATTCTCTGAGATAAAATAAATAAATGCTAATATTATTTTATTAATGTTATTTAGAATTTTATATATTTATGTTGATTGTATCAATAAATAAGTTAATTATTTACTTTATATATATATATATACACATAAATTTTTTTAAATGACATTAAGTAGCAGTGCAGTCACAAATTCCAGTCCCAGCTCCAGGTGAGAGGGATCAGCAGCTCTGCTCAGACATGGAAAGAGGGATGCTGCCAACCCCAAACCATGTTAACCCCCAAGCCCCTCATCCCAAGGGAATCCCATTGGATACAACAGTCCCTGGAGTCCCCACATTACGATTCCAGGCCTATCCCAAAGCAGTTCCACCTTTGCTGTAATCCCAGCAGAAGTGAGGAATTCCTTGCTGTTGCAGCACATCCAGGTGCTGCTCCTGATGCAGGGGAAGGATAAAATCCATGAATGAGTGTGGAATGACTTCCTGACCGCCCCAGGTTCCCGGGGCATTCCCATCCCGGCTCAGGGATGCACAGGGATGGAGCCCCAGCCCTGCCCTCTGTGCCCCGTTCCATGTGCAGGGTTATCGGGGTTATTCCCAGCTCACAACCAAAGGGCAGCTCCTGCAGGAGAAGGATAAGGGAGAAAACCCAACATTTGGGGTGAAAAAGCAACAAAAACCCAGCAAGGATCATAAATCCTTGGATCTGCCCGGCGTTGTCGGGCGTGTTCGGGCAGCAGTCCCCGGGCAGTGCCTGTGCTGAATTGTTAAACAAATTGAAGGCTTTGAAATCCATCGAGCTTGGCTTTTCTTTCCCTTTCTTTATCTCGAATTCCGGGCTCTCTATTCCCCACTGCCCCGCAGACCTCGGAGCTTGCACCGAGCCCTGGGGAGGGGCTGTTTGCATTTCCAAAGGAGCTCCTTCGGTGCTGACAGATGATGAAAAATGGCTGCAGGCAAAAAGCTGGAAAACCAGCATTTCCATTCCTCGTGGGCACCCCTGGAGTCAGCTCCCTGCTCCCGTGTGCTCCAGGACGGGCATCGGGGAGGAGCTGCTCTGCCCTGGCCTTGAAGGTAAAGCTGGTTCTGGAGGATGGATTTGCTTTTAAATAATAAAAAAAGGCACTCTTCCAAAATATTTGCAACTCCCTTCAGCAGGTTAACGAGGAGGAGTGCTGAATCACTGCTCCCTGGTGCAACTAGTGCATGGAATTAAGGGAGATGCCTCCTTGGAAAAGTGGGAAGTGTGTGCAGCTCCCCCTGGAATTGCACAGGGGGTACAAGGTGAACAGCTCCTTGCAGGGACTACTTTGGTTTCAAAATCATGAAAAATCACCCTAGAAGAAGAGTTTGCCTGCAAACTAAAACAGCCTTGTTTGCTTTGCTAGGAATTTATGGAGTTCCCAGAATCCCAGACTGGTTTGGGTGGGAAGGGACCTCTAAACCCATCCAGTGCCACAGGCAGGGACACTTTCCACCAGCCCAGGTTGCTCCAAGCCCCGTCCAGCCTGGCCTTGGACATTCCAGGGATCCAGGGGCAGCCACAGCTTCTCTGCCCAACCTGTGCTGGGGCCTCCCCACCTTCACCATCAACAATTCCTTCCCCGATAATTTGTTGCCATAAACTCCACACAGAATCCAATAAAGTCAAGGATCGATTTGCCATGTCCATGATGAATCTCTGCTGCTCAGAACTCCACACGGCCTCATCTTAATCCAGAACATAAAGAATTCTAGTTTTAATTATACAGCAGCGATAAATCCTGCAAAGTTGTCATAAACATCATTAAATAGATCATTTACTTCACAGTGTTTCTCAACACAAGAGTGCCAGGATTCCACAAAAAGAGTTGCTTTTCAATACTAAAGCATCAGCACTCGTAACTTCTGCCAGAAATAAGACATTTTTAGCATTTCTGGTACACATGTTGTCTGGAGACAGCCCAGCCCACGCTGCCTCTGCTCCCAGTAGCCTCGAGGCAGAACAGCTGAAGAGGTGCAAGGAGGTCTGGAGTGAGAGAATAAACTGAGCTGCAGAGTTCCAAAAAAACACCCTTTGGGAGGGATGGGAAATTTTTTTAAGGGATAGTGGCTGGTGTTCCTGAGAGGAGATCTGAAAGGAGGCACCTTCTCATCCAAAAAATGCAGAAATTCTTATATTTTTGTATGAAAACCAGTGTGTCCCAGCCCCAGGGCAGTGCCCATCCCACCTCCAGGGCTGGGGCAGGGAAGAGAAGGAGCTGGGGAAGGGTCTGGAGCAGCAGGAGGGGCTGAGGGAGCTGGGGGGGCTCAGCCTGGAGAAAAGGAGGCTCAGGGGGGACCTTCTGGCTCTGCAACCCCCTGACAGGAGGGGGGAGCTGGGGGGGGTCGGGCTCTGCTGCCAGGGAACAAGGGACAGGAGGAGAGGGAACGGCCTCAGGCTGTGCCAGGGGAGGCTCAGGTTGGACATCAGGAGGAATTTCCTCCTGGAAAGGGTGGTCAGGCACTGGCACGGGCTGCCCAGGGAGGTTTGGAGTGCCCATCCTGGAGGTGCCCAAGGCACTCAGGGCTCTGGGCACAGCCAGCTCTGCACAACATTGGAACTTTAAATCCCTCAGGTTTTCCTGTTTGCACCCAAAGGGAACCATCAGCCCCAGGGCACACACAGCCCCTCAATCCCCTCAGCCTGAGCAATCCCAGGGGAACAAAGGACATCTCATCCTTTCCACAACAGTCACATCTCAGCAAGCACTGACCCATCCAACCCCTGATTTCCCAGCTACACACACCAGCCAAGGGACAGGAGTGACAGGGGGAATGAAGCAACACAGATTCCATCCTGGAAGTGCACTGGGAAGAAAAAAAGGAAAAGGAAAAAGGAAAAGGAAAAAGAAATGGAAAAAAATGGGGAGAAAAAAAGGAAAGGGGAGAAGGGGGAGGAAAGAGGGGAAAATTGCAGCAGGGGAGGGTCAGGTTGGATATGAGGAGGAATTTCTCATGGAAAGGGTGGTCAGGCCTTGGCAGGGGCTGCCCAGGGAGGTTTGGAGTGCCCATCCCTGGAGGTGTCCCAGGAAGGCCTGGCCGTGGCACTCAGTGCTCTGGGCTGGGGGACAAGGGGGGCATCGGGCACAGGGGGGACTGGATGATCTTGGAGGGCTTTTCCAACCCCAGTGATTCTGGGATTCTAAAGCTCAGTAAAACCTCTTTCCAGCCCAGCACAAGGTCTGTGGGCAAACAGATGCCTGTGCTGGGAGGATCCATAAATCTGTTTATTCCTGGGGGAGGTGCTGTGGGGGTGGGACGTCTCCTCTGCTCCACAGCAGCTCCACGAGGCTGCCACGGATGAGAGAATTGGCAATTTGGGAAGGCATTAACTAAATTAATGGATGTGTTCTCATCATCATTATGGCACTGTGTGCTACCCGGGGTAAAGATTAAAAGACTTTAAATTAAACAAATTTGAAGGTATCAGCTCCACAAAGTGCAGCAGCAAGGAAGTGCCACACAGCAAGGAGAGTCATTACTCCTGGTCCCCAAAAAGAACACATTTAAGAACAAATATTTGCAACACAAGGGCTGAAATACTGCCTGGAGCTGTGATATCCAGGGAATTCCACACAGGGATATGGAAATCACACACTAACAGGCTCAAATTCTTCCCACAGCATGACAGAGCCATGGACACTGGGGTTGGAAGGTTTCAGAATGGCAATAAAACACAGAGATTGTCAATTAAATTCAAATTAATTTAGATATTTGTTTCATTAGGAGGGTAGTATTTTCCTCCTCACAAGAGCCAGGAAGATTCCCAAGCATTCCTTAAACTGCTCCCTAATTTACCAGTTTCTCACAACACCTCTTGCAGCACTCAACCCAGACCAGGGGAACACCAAAACAAAACCTGGAATGGTGTTCCCTGGATCCCAGTCCTTCCCAGCTGCAGCCATGGACACCACAGATGTGGCTGCCTTTCCTTCTGGGAAAAATAAATAAGTTTAATCCTATTCATAAATCCCAAAATCATGGAATGGGTTGGGTGGGAAGGGATGTTAAAGATCAGCTCATCCCACCCCCTGCCATGGGCAGGGACACCTTCCACCAGCCCAGGTTGCTCCAAGCCCCATCCAACCTGGCCTTGGACACTTCCAGGGATCCAGGGGCAGCCACAGCTTCTCTGCCCAACCTGGGCCAGCCCCTCCCCACCCTCCCAGCCAGGAATTCCTTCCCAATATCCCATCTCTCCCTGCCCTCTGGCAGTGGGAAGCCATTCCCTGTGTCCTGTCCCTCCATCCCTTGTCCCCAGTCCCTCTCCAGCTCTCCTGGAGCCCCTTTA